TCGAGGGAAGAGGCGGCTTCTTCCTACTGCCCCCTAAGAACTGGCCTGTTGACAGAGGTCCTGGCGGTAGGGTCAGGCCTGGGGCCCAGCGCGCCTGGCCACAGCAGAGCCGGGAGGCAGTGTTCCTGGATATGCAGACCCCACATCCAATCTGTCAGCAAATCCCGTTGGCTCCAAATTCAAAATATATAAACAGTTACAATCTTCATTACCTTCATGGCTGAAATTGGCAATGAAGCCTAAACAAAGTTTCCAGAAAGGCAAAAGAAAAATAAAAAGCAAAGAAAGAGATTTAAAATGCATTGATTGCCTGATATTCATTCATCCATTGAACAATCAGGTACTGAGCACTTTTTATATGTCAGGCATTGCTCCACTGCAGGGAATACAAGGTCGAACACAGTAAAAACAAGTTGCTACCCTCACTGGACTTATTATAGAGGACAGACAATGAGCAAAATAAGTGAGTAACATATATGGTATATTACACTGTGACCCATGCTATAAAGAAAAATAAAGCAAAGAAATGTGCTTAGCAGTAACGGGGAGGGGACTACAATTTTGTATGGGGTGGCCACAGAAATTCAATCCTTTGAGCAACGTTCTGAAAAGAGTGAGGGCTCCAGCAGTGTTGATATCTGGGGCAGAGCAATCCGCACAGAGTAGGAAAACTGAAAGTGGGAAAGGTGTTGAAACAGGAGCATGTGCTGGAGGGACTGGCCCAGGGGGAAGCGTAGGAGGAGGTACAGGTGGCAGAGCCTGGGTCAGATCATGGAGTCTTCGCGGCCCTTGCTGGAACTTGGGCCTTTTCTCAGTTGAGCAGGCACAGATATTGAGGGGTTTTAATCAAAGGAAAGACTTATACATTAACAGGTTCATCTAAGGACTATGTTAATAAGAGACCAAAGAGGGCAAAGTTGGAAACAAAGAGATGAATTACATGACTATCATAATAATGCAGCCGAGAAGTGATAGTTCTCTCCCTAAGCTTCATTGCTAATTCCACTGTATCTTTTGTCCCCTACACGTTTCTCTGTCTTATCTGCTCTCCCTACAAACTCTCTTCATCTCAGGACTTAGCGGAATGTGCGTGCTAATGATTCACGTCTCCTGATCAGGAGCATTTTTTACTTTCCTGGGAGTGTTAAGTCTATTGAAATTCCCACTTGGTTTTTAAATAAGTTCCTCAAATTATAGAAAATAACATTTATTATCTTCTCCCACCACACTTATTAGGTTCCGTGTCTTAGTAATCGGGCAACCATCCATCCAATTGCAAAGGCTGGAATGTTGGTCTCTCCGCTTCCTCTCTAACAGGCACTTCCAGCTTCATTCAGAAGGTCTTTTTCTGGTCAGGGTGACATTATAATTTCTTGCTTCCATCTTCACCCAGCAAATATAAACGTCTATGTGTGCATATAGGGGTGTATGTGTGTTGTACATACATGGCACAGCCACACTAAAAATGACATGAACATTCCTATGGATCAGATGCACGTAACAAAAAAGCAAACAAATGAACAACGACACAGAGCAGTAACAAGCTGAAGTCATCGTTCTATCAAGCTCCGAGTCAGTAAAATGGCAGGACAGAATCAGAGGTTTGACCAGGAGTCAAAAGTTCACCAGGTGCCAAAAGGTGTGAAGCCTGGCTCATTGCCTGACACGACACTGGGGACAGGCTTGGCACCTGTGGAACGCAATGCAAACAGCAGTGGCCACTGCCCAGGGCTCAGGTGTTGGTCATCTGTGCCCTTGTAGTGCTTGAAGGACTCGAACCACACCACCTGCCGGATCCTGTAATTTATCTTTCCAGTGCCCCAATCATCCTTCGCTTCTAACACAAGACCTGCTCTGGGGGCAATCGTAAGATCACCACACCAGGGTAAGTGATCATAAAAAAAGCAGAGAAAAGTTATAAGCCTGCAAACAAAAATTCCAAAGCCTATAACCAGAACTAATACTAAAAGAGGCAGTCAACACGATCAACAAGTAGAAGGTAGTGTCAGTTTGGAAAATACAAAAATAACAAAACAATTTCTAAGTGATTTTGAAGTCATTTTGTTTAAGATTCTCAGAGGCACAAAAAAGTAAGACTCAGAAAAGTAAATGGTGAAGCGCCAGTTAGTAGACATATCTTAGGAGATGGGTAAAAATCAGAAACAATCAGCAACCATGTATGATGAGAGAGTCTTTGACTTTTAAAAAAGGATGTTCTAGAATACAGTTAAAGAATCGAGAACTCAAATAGTACTGACTATTTGCCTAGAAAGAACACAAGAGAAAAGTAAATGAAAAATTGCTGTTGGCAGATCAATGGGAGGGATTTACCCAGGCTGGTCACCTGTAAAGATTTGCTGTGACCACTGACCACCACCCTCTGCCCTCCATGGAGGATCAGCTGTGCAGGGGCAGGGTGGTGGTGCTCTGATGTGGTCTGTAGCTGTCCACTGGGTGGTGCAGGCCATGGTCAGTCCCCACCTGTGTTTTGCCCTGGGCCACCCTGCCTGAGCTATAAAGCAATCTGAGATAGTTGCTACTCGTGTTGGGTTTAGAGATTCCCAGGAAAAGCCAAGCTGTGAATCTAAACTGGCTGCTGCTGGTGCTGGGCCTGGGGCTCACTCAGGCCAGCTGTTGCTTGTTTGGGAGGATTCAGGAAGTTGTGCAGCTTGAGCCAAGACCAACCATTCATATGGAAAGCAGCTTGGGTGGGCTGTAAACTGGTTTCGGAGGAATCTCTGGGAATCTCCAGGCAGGTCCAAGAGTGATATAGCCAGGTTGATGGAGTCTCAGATATGACACCAGCTTGCTGGCTCTGTGGCCCTGTGTGGGGCAGGCCCAGAAAAGGGACAACGGCCTCTGCTCTCCTTGATACCTGGCACCTAAGCCTGTACCAGTATGCCACTGATGCCTTTCAAGCCACCACCCTGTGCTGTTGCTCAGAGGGAGGGAATCCTAGTAGGTGAGTCTGTGTGTGGGTCCTTTTAGAGGAACTGCTGGAGGATCCAGAAGTTTGCTTCACTGACTCAATCCCTGCTGGTTTTTGCAGCCGGAAGTTATGGGGACTTATCTTCCTGGCACTGGAACCCTGGGCTGGGGGCCCTGGTGGGGGGGGGGTTGGGACTCCTCACTCATGAGATGTCCCTCCTGACTTTTAGCCACCAGACTTGATTGTGGCAGCAATCCATTCTGCATCTGTACCCCTCCTACCAGTCTTTAATTCTGTCATTGCCCAACTCCCATTCAATGCCATTTCTGATGGTTCTGAAAGATGGTTGTTCTGTATTTTAATTGTAATTTTGATGTGGTTGTGCAAAGAGGCAAGCCATGTCTGCTTACACCACCAACTTGACCGGAAGTCTCGCAATAAACTCTAATTCTCAATTATGTAAGGAGGGCCTCAAAGGAACTCTTCCAGGTTGGCCTGGAGGTACCATATTCCATAAAATCACTCAGATACTCTTCCTTGGTTTTTAGCTCTGGGCCACGTTTTCTAACGAGACAGCTGCAGGAAAAGGGTGTGTGGTTTTGCGGCGCTGAAAGTGGTACTTAACGACTGTTACATTCCACTAGGAAAGGTCACATGGTTACCGCCTAACTGCAGGGTGGTTGAGATGTGTATGGTAGCTGGGCAATCATATGTCCAATTGCTACAGAAAAAAAAAATCTGTTGACACCCCTAGCCACCTATTTTCCTTTAGTAAACTGGACATGAGTTGATTTTCTTGCAGAGAGTTAGACCAAATCATCTGGTGATTGTTTCAATAAAAAACAGATTTTCTCGACTTCCTTATTTCTTCCTAGAAACTGTCTTATTGACATGTAGGTAACTGTTTTTAGTATTTCTCATACAATTACACTGCAGGTAGCTTTGTAACTAATGGCTTCCTTGTGATTTTCCTCACGTTGATTCATATAAAGTTCTATGGGAAACAGTTGGATGAAAGAGGGAAAGGTTTGGTTTTGAAAGGGTAGATTCTACCAGATAAGGGAAATGAAAGAGCATCTCAGGGAGGTAACTGTGCCATTTGTCTAGGAGCTTCTTGGGGGAAGAATATTTGATTAAATAGTCTGTAAGGCAGCACCTATCACAGGAGACACTCAGTATGTGTGTGTCTACTGCGTCTAATGTTTGCTGAACCAGAAGTGAGAAAATGTGCACAGTGACCACCAACAGTATGTGGCCACCAAATTCCAACTGAGCTGCACATACATCGAAGTAAAGCCGTGGCGGTGTTCATGGGCTGGTCAGGGGCTGCTGTGTTATCCTGTTGAAAAGCTGGGCCTGGGGCCGGGGGAGGGGTATGGTTTCAAGGCTGGACTGGAATCAATGTGTGAAAGGTCTCGTTTACTGTAAGAGTTTAAGTTTAGCTGTTGAAGGTTTTTAAACAGGAAGTGACCAATGCAGATCTCTCTTAGAAAAACAATTCTAGTAGCAGTGCAATAAGGAGAGGGTGAGGGTGAGAGAAATACAAGGGACAGATAAAGGTCTCTGAACTTGGCTGTGGTGAGGAAAGGCATAACCAGCCTTGACTTAATTCACGAGCACAATCCCCAGAATGGTGATTAATGGTAATGGAACAAGGAATGGAGCACTGGAACAGGAGCAGATAATCGGCATGTTGTAGGGCACGCTGAGTGAAGTACACTTCACAGTTCCAGACAGTTCTGGTAGAATTAGAGACAACATTCGTGCCAGGTACAGGGGACCTACTAAACTCTAGCATTTGACACATTGTATTATTATTTATTCAGGAACCTGTTTCCTAGCCCCCTGACAATTAAGATAAAGATCATTTTACTCAATTAATGTCACTGATGCAAAATGTACAACTAAGTATAATGGTTACCAGAGGGATGGTAGGTGAGGGAGTACTAATAGTAAAGGGGCCACATTTATGGTGATGGAAGATGATGTGACTTTGGGTGGTGGGCACATAACGCAATATACAGATGATGTAGCATAGAAATGTGCACTTGAACCAATATCATTTTATTAACCAACATCCCCCCAATAAACTTAATTAAAACTAAAATAAAAATTAAAAAAATAAATTATCCTATTATACAAGTCCAATTATTGCAGATTCATTCCGAGGGGGGGAGGCACAGGCAGGCACTTTGCAATAACATTTGGTTCTCGTTGTCTTTGAAAAATACCAGCATAGCACATCTATGCTAATATTGGATGTGAATTACTTCCTACCACATTAAATCAGGACTAAAACCTCTCAAGTGTTTACAAATATCAGAGCATGTTTCTTTTCCTATCAAGTTTTTAAAAACAGTACCATTAGCTTTGTTCTGAGAAATAACTGTCAGTTTCTTTCTGCAAGGACACTGTGAAAATAAATTGTAAGTATTCTACAGATCTTTAATTTTTTATAAAATATTGCCTGCCTCAAGTAAGGAACATTTTCCCCCCAATATCTTAAAAAACAGATAAGACTATACACAGTAATTATCATTAATGTCAATAGTCAAAGAAAAAATACAAAAGTTGTGTGAACATCTAGTAGGATATGTTATACATGTATAGAAAAATTAAACTGAAAATACTAAGCATTCCTCCTCATAAATAAGCCAAGTGACTTGATATTTATTTACATTAGTTTTTTTAAAGTCTATGTTATTTTAGGATCTCTTAATACCTACTAGACTCGTTTGGTTAGTTCAATATGGAGTCTCACACACACCCTTTTCCTGCGCATGTCCAAGCGAAGCTGAGCTCTCCCTGTCCCTCCAGACAGCTGAGATCGCACACAATCTTGAGTGTCAGCACAAAGGCGCAGTAAAAGGGAACACTCATACTGATGTGCGATGAATCTACGTCTTGAGCTTCAGGTGTTAATGATTTAAAACTTTGTTCTTAAGTTCATCATTACTGAAGAAGCCCCTGGCGATGGCTGCATCCCATCTGGCCGTAATGAAGACAAATCAACAGGAAGACTGGAAAATGCGGCAACGTGATAAAGGCGAAGCATCCAAAATCACTCCTTTGCACTTAGTCACTAGTGGTCCAAGGAAGGGTAACTTCCTGCCTTCGACTCGGTGTCTCAATTAGAGGAAAATCTTACTGCGACCTGGGTTCCAGGCTCCGGCTCACAAATAACGGCGCTTTACTCAACTCACTATGCAGGGAAGCTTCACCGGAACAGCTCCTCGGAGGAGGAGACCCTGCTCTTCTCATGGCTGCTCAGTCTAAGGGCTGACCATGACGCACAGTCACCCTTCTAGCTGGTTAGATTTTTAAAGCCAAATGTGCTACATCAGCTCCTTCCACACCAACTTAACTTATCTTGGGCAAGAGGGTTTTTTAAGCTACAGATGTAAACAAGGATTCCCGAAAAAAAAAAAAATCCAGTTTCATCATCTGAATTATTAAACTTGTTTGTTTTATTAAACTACTTCAAACTGTGTCACTTAAATTTCTGTTTAAAACAAATATTTTAAATAGTTTGTGTTCAAGTAACAGATTTCATACTCCATTTTTACCAAGTAGAGCTATGATAACCAAATTAGAAAAATATTTTAATTCTTAATGAATGTTGCAAGTCGGCTTAGCATACCTTATTTTAACAAAAACTGCTCATCCAGCAGAAAATCAACAGGAACAGCAAAGAATTCTGTTGGCATCCTACAACCTGGAACATCGGACGAAAATCCACAGAAATGTGCAAAAACCACCCTCGTTATAACTGAAGGGCTGGTGAACGTGAAACTGTTTGGAAAAGCACAAAGCACTGGACCACACGAAGCATCAGTATAATTAAGGAATCGTGGCGTGCAGCAGTGACTTAAGCAACGGTGGCTGTGCTACCTTACACCAGACTACAACAAATCCTTTGTTCGAAGGGTTAGAGACTAACGGGCCTCAGACCCCTGTAGCTCCTCCCCCTTCACCAAGCTTCCGCACGGATCTGCTGTGCGTCTGTGTTACAGTCCTGGGAGGTAGGCGGAACGGTCGGTTTTTGCTCATATTTTTATATGTTGCATGTAATTTTCACCGGCTTGAGACATGATCATGTTCAATAATTAGGCCTACACAGGGTTGAAAACAATAACGACGGTATTGTATAGATGGGGCTTGGGTTCAAAATGATACATTTTATTAAATGTGCAAAATAAAATGAAGTGAACTCTGTTCAAAAAAAGTACAAGACAGGTATTATTTAAAATGCTTTAGTACTCATTTTCAATAAAAAGAAATCTGGCATTATAAAAATACATAAAATAGCAATGGATTTATACCCTTAATTTACACAAGATTTTTTTTTACACAAAACAAAGTTATAAAATAGTTTAAAAAGAAATTCGTATGTGAAAGTTCCTCCCAGTTATAAAATTTGTATAAATTTTGGTAATTTTGGTCCATATGTATAAATAAGACATTTCATCCTTTTAAAATTCATAACTCCATTTAAAAACATAGGATTCTCTCTCTTTTAAATAAAAGTTCACGTGAGGTAGCAGTATGTCAGAACGCTTGGGCTGCCTTCAGCCTATGTGTCCAAGTCATAGGACTGAAAATGTGGAGTCCTGTGGTTTTCTAGGGTCTGTTTAAAGGTACATGTGTGATTCTCTGGCTGAAACTCTGTCCTTTCTTTCCCATCTTCCTCTGACTCAGAGTCCAAGTCTGGGGAAGAATGTGCTTTCACGTGAAAGGCTCCTGGCTGGCACTCCGATGGCTGCCCGAGGCTTGAAAAGGCATCCAGGTGGGGTCTCCTCAGAGGCTTTCCAAAGGTTCCTGAAAGAGAGAGACCCCTTGAGCATATGACTCCTTTTGCTAACCTGTGATCCATCAAAACACCATTTCAACTGCGGCACCGTACCCCATGAGCACAAATGAACATTTTTTGCCGGTGCACAGGATGGTACTCGCTGCCCGAGTGTGCGTGCCGTGCAGACGGAACGTACAGAATGGAGCTGAGGACTCTTACATCACTCTTACACACGCCCACTGAACCCACACGTCGCTGTTTTCCACCTCTCACGACCCGCAGTCGTCTTCACCACTGAGCAGTGCAGGTCGCCGACCTGGGTTCTCTCACCACCTCACCTTAGGACTCGGAGCCCAGTCTCCCTGAAGGGCGTTTGGACAGCAATGTACAAGGAAACCATGCCCGGGTACAGAAAGTACTTTGGAAATAACTCTTACGTTATGTTCTTTTTTTACTGGCAAAATACTGCTCAACTGACTCAAATTCTTGCCTCAGTGGTATAAAACAGACTATTTCCATTTTTTTCAAAAAGGAATATAAGTAATTATACTGTGACAAAACATAAAATGTCTTAATAGCTGGATGAAATATTTCCAAGTTCCATTTCTTCAACGACAAGACAAGTGGTGGTTTATTTCCCCCTATCTCCACTTGGTGTGCAGATGATCTCAGTTCTCCCACCTCCCTGGTCCCAGGCACTAGATTTAAAAAGTCCACAAACAGGTCTCGTGCCAGGCAGTGTCCACTGCTGCCACCGTGGGCTCCAGGGCTCTGCCGGTGTCCTTGCCAAAGGTAGTCCAGGCGGGCTGGCGAGCAGGGAGCTGTTGCCAGGTAGGACGCTGTCTACCCTTCCACTGTGGGTTTCGTTATAAACCACCAGACATCCCAAACCACAAGCACGCAGAGCACACAGCCCCACCCCAAAGGCTGCTGGAGCCCCAAAACCACTTTTTCCACACGGCTGACACACTGAGCTCCTCGGTCACTCCCAAAACCCTTGTGTTCGAGGCGAGGCCACACACAGTGCAGCCTGAAAGCTCCTAAGGTTTAGTTATGGATCAAACACGTAGTCAAGTAAAATCCCCCAAATCGGACTTTGCTTTCAGAAACACATGCTAACTAAGAGAATGGCAGAACAGAATCACTAAAAAAACCAAACTCTTTCCACCAGTTCAGCATGTGAAGCTCTCACTGCTCTGCCACACGCAACGTGGAGTGTGGGTCCCCAGGGGAGGCATCGCAGAACTCAGTGAACTCACCCATGAACGAACTACTCGAAGTAACCAATGCTGGCTCTGAACTTGGCCCAAAATCTAAAGAGGACTTTAGACACACATTTTTCACTCCAGGTCCTTCACTCTGAGCGTAAGTGGAGCTGATTAACTTCCTCACATGCGATGGCCACCCCGTGTCACCGACACTCGGTTCACAGGCTTCTTCTGCAGGGTGGAGACACGGGTAGCACTCCTTCTTCTTTGTGTGACTGGCCTCACAGGGGTCCACCAGGGCAGTTCTAGGGTCCGCGCCACGACCTTCCGTTTGGGGACAGTACCGGGAGGAGACAGAGTTAGCACTTCTGGAAATCTTTCAGGAAACAGAACGCGGATAAGAAAACCACTCACCTGTATGATAGGCTTCAAAAGGATCTGAGCCGTACACATTCCCCTTCAAACACACGGGGCCTGGGGACCCCAAAAAGGGACAAAGGAATGGATCTGTGGCAGCGTCCACATCAGCTTCACTGCTGTTGTCGATATGGCATGTCCCTTTAAGACAGATATCTCAGTCACTGAACCAGTTTTACGCAAGCATCATTCACTGTTCTCTTTACTTTTGGCATTTTCCATATTTATAGATGAAAACTTTGCATAGAGTAACACATACAGGAAGAAATTGCAGACATTCAGGATTTTTAAAAAATGTGCTGAAGTCTATGGACTGAGTAAACCTGTGACATCTGACCAACAGAGGACCTGGAGAAGCACTGCACCACACACGGCAACCTGTTTGCTGGCCCCACCCACATGCAAGAGAAACTGATTTGCATGGATACGGCAGCAAAGCACTTTCAGCTGAACCACAAGAGACCATCAGCTACCGTCCTTCCTCCGCAAAGTCACAGATGACCAGGACCACAGACTGGCACCTACCTAATGACCTCTTAATGCTGAGAGCAAAGAGGGGCTCATCCCACAACAAGTCCTAGTGGGAGTGTTTGAGCTAAAGAGCCCAGAAAGGGTAAGCCAGTTAGCAGTGGGCACAGCAGTGACATCGTGAGTGTTGGAGATGCTGTGTTGAGCCACCTGGCTGGGAAGCAGGACTTGATGGACTGAGCATGGGTGGTGTCAGAGCAGACACCACCCATTTGCAGAATGAGGATTCAGCAAAGCTGTTGACCTCCGGAGCTCCGAGCAGACCAGCCTCCGGCCCCAGGATCCAGGTGAGGGGGCATGAGTATGCTCCAGTTCTGTCCCTGTGACTTTCACAAAGGTCTTTTCAGCAAACCCTGCTGCCCTGGAGCAGGCTCGGGCCTCTGCTCTTTGCAATCCCATGAGTGCGGCAGCACATCCACTTAGGAGCGCAAACCTATGTGTACATCCTCTACCACTGCCTTACCAGGCACTTAGCAATCATTGGTTGAATTTTCTCTCATCCCCGACTAAACCGTGAAAACCAAAAAAATCTCTTCTTTTCCAAGTATGGAGTCCATCACAGAGCAGACACTCAACAAATGCTTGTGGGAAAATATGCCCAAATGTTTCAAAATAACATCAATAGCTCCCACCTGATGAGCCCTTAATATGGGCCAAGCAACATGTAGTTTTCCATTACCATTTTCTTTAATTTTCACAGCCTAACAGGAAAGTACTATAATTGCCTGAAGACACTGGGAGTGTCAGAAGTGGTTCTTAAACCAAGCCTGTGTTCTTTCTTATTTATGCTGCCTCCATTATGATTCTTAAAACTATACAGTTCTTAAAACAAGAGCCAGAGTTACATATTCCTAATAAAAGGATTCTTACATCACTCGACGTTTCAGAACACGCATGAAACAAGTCACCCTCATTTAAATAAGGTAGTGACGTGGACCCCAGCCTGTGGCGTCAGTGGTGTTATGGATGAAATGAGACAAATTCACATTGACTACTGAGTCCTGTGGAGGAAAGGGATGGCAGGGCCACTCTCTCAAGAGGAGAGAGCCTCGGCCCCGGCCTTGACAAGCTTTGATTGCTTTTCTGGGCACATTACATTGAGGATGGTCCTCATTTACTATGCACGGGTTTGCTTTAGGTGGTTACCTTTTACAGAAAACAAAGGAGAGGATGCTGGTAATCACATCACAGAAGAGGAATATTTGCAAATGCAAAGAGAAAAGTGGGTTGAATTGGTTACACTCATCCTTGGGAGGTTCAGCATAGAATTTAGGAATTTACTTTAAGGATATGCAGTGAACGTTTGCTGCCTCAATTCAGGGTGAGGCAGTTTTAGCAAAAAGCAAGCCTCAAAGTGGCCCAGGCACAATGCAGGCCTGATTTCCCATGGGAGAACCTATCCATGGGTGAGGGCCCTGTGCACTGGACCTCGCTTTCCACTGGCCTTTCCAAGTGGCAGCTGGGCCCATGCCAGGCCGAACGGTCTCCTATAAGGTAGAACACTCAGGGCCAAAGGATATTTACAATGTAAAGAAAATATTTACATTGCATGGAGGAATTAAATTTTACTTAACCTACTTCTCTCCTTTTATTGTCAGAAATGAAGATTCTCCTGGCATTTAAGAAACTTCATTTAATATTAGCTTTGCCGAGGATCTTCTGGAGAAAATTAATATTATATTTGAGCCTTCCATCAGATTATTTCAAAACAACTGCAGCCCATGCTCATTTTGTACACTCACCGTTACCATCGTGTTGTGGTAAGAAAAATCCACCCCCCGAAGAAGTGACGAACTGGTGGTGGCTTCCACTTTCTGAGGACACGTAGCCATCCTGTCTATCAGCCAGTGTCCCCTGGGACGACAGGTAACTGGGGATATCTGCTGGCAAGTTGGTCTCATCTACAACACAACAGCAGCATCCCATTAACTGAGAAGCCTCACGAGTGCCCCACAGGCTTCCCTGAGGTACAGTACAGGCTTCTTTCAATCACACTGATCTGCCCCTGCAAAACCGTCTGGACTGTGTGGTACTCAGGCAGGCAAGTCAGGGCTCTGCGGCCCCAGGCAGTCGGAGCTGATTTTCCACATTATCACCTGTGGGATGCCCCACCCACATTTCGAAGACAACAAATGTTTAAAAAGAAAGGCTTAAGAATTTTCACGGGAGAGTATCTGAACTCTTGAGTCAATCTGGGTTTCTGCTGTAGCCCTGACTGAGTATTATTCACTGATAGTGTGCGCACAGCTCTCTCCCACGAACAACTGCTGTCCTCTCTAGATTCTGTCGCACACACAACACGATGAAAACCTACAACGGAGTGTAAGCCTCCCAAGTGAAGGGACGGTTCCTGGTTTTCCGCTACCATCTTGCGAAGGATTTAAGCTGACTTCCACTGGGTCTCACAGCCAACAGGATATTCTGATCAGGCTCTCACAAAAAGCACTAATCTTTAAATATCAGCTGCATTTTGGGCCAGGGTGTTATTTTTAGCCAACCACAATTCTGCAGCTGGAAACAAATGAGTCACCCTCCTGACGTGGCTGGGACTGCAGGACGCCCTGCAGACGAGAGTCACCGGGATCGCACGCACGCACACGCCCGCCGAGCCCGAGCCCGAGCCCGGCCCGCTTGCGCACCTGTGTTGGTGATGCTGCAGTCTTCGTTCCTCCGCCTCGTGTGGTATATGATGACCACCCACACCAGCGACGTGCCCACCACACAGCAGACCACCGCTATGATCACGATGCCCACGGTGGCCCAGCCGTCATCGTCTAACGACGAGGCAGTCATCTGAGGGGAGTCACAGGTCGGAGTAGGGATCACACTGAGGCGTACGTGGCCCCGCTCGGTGCCGAGGGTGTTAGACATTTCGCACGTGTACTTCCCAGCATCGCTGACGTCTGAGTCCACAATGATCAGCAGCTGGTTGCCTGCTGCAAAAAAGTGCCTCTCGGTGACCACCAAAGGGCTGTCATCCTTGGTCCAGTTCAACCTGGGAGGAGGGCTCCCTCCGGCGATGCACTGCAGGACGGCCGTTTCCCCCTTGGTGACGGTGCGGTCCAACAGGGGCCGCAAAAACGATGGCGTTTCTGAAATGAGAAGTTACGCTCTTTATCTCTTAAGTGAAATGACATTTTGCAGTAGACCCAGTGCTTGGATTGATTCAAATTGCAAGGTAAATTTTTATTCTCCCTCAAGTTACTATGTATGCTTCTTTAAGAGCCCAAACATACACAACATTGGGGATCTCATTTCATTGTTCCGCCGTCAATGAGTCTTAACGCCTGTCACAGTTAACATTTACTGTTCTTTCACCTCCACCCCCCTCACTCTTGACAAGGCTGGGGAATGGTGGGGGAGGGGCGGCAAAGCTGAACATTTTAGACATTTTTTCAGAAACAGAAATATGTATAAACATAATGCCGAGCACAAGACTGTGTGGATGCATTAAAAAATCAGAACATCACAATTTTTTAAAGAGAAACTTTCTGGTGCTACGTGTCCAGTCCTATATTAAAATTCTGAAAAAATGATTTGCTTTTGTTACTTGGTGTTAGCAGGTTACTTGAACTCCTTTAAAGGGACACATATGATTAACATGTTCATGTTTTTAAAAAGCATCTGTTTCAGTAAAAGAAATGAACTCCAATTTTCAGAATGCTACGGTTAAGCCAAGAAAAGACAACAGGTCCCTCCCAAAATGTTCATATATTTATTATCTCATTTTTTCTTTATAGTGTGAAGGTATCAGTGGAACCCTGGTTGGTATAGCTCAGTGGACTGAGCACGGGGCTAAGAACCAAAGGGTCACCAGTTCAATTCCCAGTCAGGGCACATGCCTGGGTAGTGGGCCAGGTTACACCATAGGCAACCACGCACTGATGTTTCCCTCTCTTTCTCCTTCCCTTCCCCTCTCTCTAAAATAGATAAATAAAATATTTAACAAAAATAAGATATCGGCGGAGACTGCATGATTTTGCAGTAAACCCTGCAGGAAAGGGAAAGCATTTCCCCTCTCCTCGGAAGAGGGAGCGGATCCACCTCACCAACCACAGACTTGAAGGTGGAACACACTCCTGACTTCGAAGCTTCTGCAGAGCCATGAGTTCCTCCCAGGAAAGGGGCCCCGTCCTACGGATGGTCTCCCACCCTCCCAACGGAGGGACTCTGGGTGAGCCAGCATCTTTACGGCTACTTTACATCATAGGGCAAACATCCAGTTACCTAGGACAGTCAGGGTTGCATTGGCAGAAATGCTTCCTGCACTGTTTTGAGCGGTGCAGCTGTACACGCCGATGTCCTCTATCTTCACATCCACGATGAAGAACACGTCATCCTCGGGCATCACGTGCATGCGTCTCTCCCTCGCGGCGGGGAAGTCCGTGCCTCCGTCCTTCTGCCAGGCTATCTGCGGGGCCGGGTGTCCCAGGGCAGCGCACTCCAAGCGCGCCATGGCCCCCGCGCGGATGGTGAGGTCCATGGGGGTCTTGGTGAAAGAAGGGAGCACTGGGATCCGAAAGACAATGTGGGCGTTAGTGCTGCGGGGGTTTAGAGGTTCCCTTTCCTTCTTTTCTGAGACTTACATGACCCTGACACAGGTAAGGCGGGGTTATTTCTGATCACAAGACGAGGAATCGAAGGCTGTGAGGAAAGACTAGGTGGCCCCCTCAAGGTTACGGAGCCACGAAACGACACGGTCAGGGTGAATCGCAGGTCACCTCATCTCGGACGGGAGGTCTTCCTGCTACATTCCCGTGTCCCCAGCAGTCACTCATGAGATCTTGGGCAAATCAATGTGTATCTCTGTGACCTGACCACTCCACCTTTTTTCTTACAAATCTCACCTGGCTCTAATACTCTATGACTCTAAATGTGCTTTGTCCTACACTTTAAACTCAAAACGGTTCTGTGTCGGGCCTCAGCAATCAGTCGTTCGAAGCGTTAACAAATCATATACACACTCTTTTCCCACAGGAGATAACACATGATTCCACGACAAATGGCAAGGATCCTACCGTAGAACTGCATGAGTGCCTCGCAGAGCCAGCGATGATGTATGTCTTTTATAAACTGCATTACTTAGTGCTTACTGTATTCTGGGCATTCTGCTAAGTGCTTCACATGAATTTTATTTAATGATTATCAAACCTCTATAAGGTAGGTACTATTCTCTCATTGACAGGCGTACCATTGGAGGCACAGAGAGAGTAAGTAACTGGCTCAGAGTCACACAGTGATACGCAGAAGTGGCAGGATTCAAACCCAGATCTCTGTGACACAGGCGGTATGCTTTAACACTGCGCTCGTGGCCTCCCAAATCAAATTAGCACAGTGTGAACTCCCAAAGAGCTTAAAATGTCTGGGTCATCTCTGGGTACCCACCATCCCGTGTACGGGGTGGATGCAAAAAATGCTTGATCAGATACAGATAACCAAGAATCTGAATATTGTGGTATGAGCGGTAGGGGAATAAAGGGGTTTGGAAGAGCACTACGAGGGCAGAGGGCAGGCGCAGGAGTCAGAGGGAGAGGAAACCAGGTGCTCTGTTTCTAAAAGGAGCCTTGAAATGCAGAAGGCAAAGTCAGATCACATACTGTTCACTGTCAGCTTGGCTTTGACGGAGTAGGACGAGCCGAAGTGGTTGGAGATGACACACTGGTATTTCCCTTCGCTGGCGAATTCCACGTTGCGCAGCCGAAGAATGGTGGTGTACTCCATCACCTCGCCGCCGTGGGCCCGCAGGTGTGCGTAGTTTTCCATCTCGGCATCGTGCAGCAGCTCGTTGTCCTTTTTCCAAGCGAAAGTCATGGGGGAGTCGCTGCTGCTGGCGGCCGAGCAGATAAAGCTCAAATTGGAACCTTTTATTGCTGATTGTGTTTCCGGCTGAACCGTGATCTGGGGTTTAGGGAAATCATCTGTTCAAAATGGAGAGGAGGAAACAGAACAATTTGAAGGCTTGAGAGCCCAAATGCTACTCAGATGTGAACACCAAGAAACTCAAAACCGACAGGGGCTTGGGTTTTACCCTTTGTGTGTGTGTTTCACAGATGGACTGGCAGCCCCAGTGTTGAAACGCCAGCCTGGGAGAGTGTTTATAAAGGAATTCATTCACTTCAAGTAGAGATGGAGAGCTATTTATCAATCATTAACTCAGAGAAGACTGTTATTTGGGAACATGGTCTATCCCAGACCCCCTGTGCTTTTTAAAATATAAATACAAGAAAAAAATCAGTTAAGAAACTCATAGACCACCTATAAATACTATCGGAACTTCAATTCTCTCTCTGTTCTTCAAATACAAAGAAGCAGCAAAATGAAAAAAATCAAACATCAATAATGATAATCAATATCACTAAAGACAGCAATTAACACCCCATTTACCAAAAACAGAACCCATATTACAAGCAGTAATTTGTAGGTAGAGCAGAAGAAACCCATCCTGTCGTGAAAGAAAAAGCCCTCCGCAGCGCACCGTGAGAGCCTGGCGTGGCCTGCAGCTGAGAGCGGACCATCCATCCAGCCGCAGGGAGCTGCACTGTCAGAGCTACATTGTAATTAGAGCTAAGCAACTCTTTCATTGCAGTTATTTTTAGTTCTGTTACTTTTCGGAAAAGTTACCTTTTAGAACTCCAGTTTCTCAGAGATGGTCTAAACCGAGAAGAGAACATCTTAGATCTAACGCATGTATTATCTGGGTTCTGAAAAAAGTACTGCAAAAATAGTGAGTGTGTATATGTGTGTGTGAGAGAGAGAAAGAGGAATGGGATGTGGGGGATGCTCTGATAACTCCAATGCTGCTGATTTCCAATGCTGTGTCTGCATGTTAGTTTCTTCTTTTGAATGATGGTCATAGGGTTCTCACCTGGTAAATGAGTGTTCATGTCCACATGGAGGGATGCGATATTATGGATACTGCATATACAGGGATAGGCAAAAGTAGGTGTACAGCTGCGAATATGTGAAACACGGGGTTTGTTCCTGTGTTATTTATTACTGTACTATTTCCCCCATGAACAACTGTACACCTCCTTTTGCCTCACCCCGTTTGTCTCAAAGTAGTGAAGAATTCATATCTTGGAAACAGAGAACTGTGAAAACAACTCAGGTCCCTACAGATAAATGCCAAAAGCTTATTTAGATCCCAGGGCTACATCAGACGTTTTACTTCCAGAAACTCTTGGCACTGTTTAATGCTGGAACCTAAAATATATATACATTTTTCTTATACTTATTTAACCAATCTTAGGGGAAACATTTTAAAATAAATTTTTAAAGACCAATATAAAATTAGGTTCTGTAATATCTTAATGCACATGCTAACTAAAATTTAAGCAAAAGCTGACTTCATGTTCTATACACCCATTTCATTCGGCAAAGGTCTCCATGGCAGTGAATAGTAAACAGTGGAGCGTAGTAGACAGCAAACGGCATCAAAAAGATAAACTTGGCTTTTTGACCCAGATCTGCTAACTAGCTGGGTGACCTTTGGATAAGCGGATTTCTAATGCTGAAATGCTTAGGTGCTAAAATAAGAGACCATAAATTTACTCATAATAAATTCAAACTTTCATGACTTGAAATGCCTTACCCACCAAGAGTAAAAATTTTAGCAGCCTGTAAATCACTAACTAATAATCTGCTCTTTCTCCTCCACATAAACCGCATTTGCACAGGGCTCACGAGAGCCTCTCAACAAGCCCCGGAGCTGGAGGGAGCAGGGTTCCCGCTTCATACAGGCAGGGACGGAGGTCTAGGGAACTTAAGCAGAAGGGCTGGTCCTACATCCTCTAATTCCCCAGAGATCCAACGTCATTCTCCTTCCACCAAACCCCCCTAATGCCAAAACAAAGACCATGAAAACTCTCCTTCTCGTCGGTAAAATTAAAATAATAAGCAAACTACAGATCCGTTTTCATCTACCTGAGCAGAAATAAAAGCTTTACTAAAAGAGCGTAAATGTATTCCAATGCATTATGGGGACAAATGGGAGAAATAAGAAGGAGAAAGAATAAAAGGCCCAGGCAACAGCTCCACTCACCACACACAAAGCCATCGGGGCTGACAGTGAAAATGCTCCTTCCCTTCAGCAGCTGGGGGTGGGCACAACTGGCGTTCACAAAGCTCTGAAAGTTGTTTTCCGCCACCCACTGCGGGAGCCATTTCAGTTGGCAATCACACAAAAGGCTTGATGTATTTAAATGCCTGAGGAGAGTAATTACATTCAATTTGTTTTATATGAAATGCAGCTTTGCTCAAGTAAGCTAAACTCCAGTAAACACTAACAAAGCAGTGAATAGGGAAACACACATCCCAGGTGGAGATATCCGACGGTCTGTCTTAAGATGCAAGAAACGTGCCTGGCACAATGTTTTTGTTGTTGTTCTTGCTGACCCACTGAGACAGAAGTGCTGATCTATCAAAGGTACCTTACTACTGAAAACTTGTTACTGTGACCAGGCCCGTCGGACCTCACAAATTCAAATGACAAAGCCATCCCAGAAGGAAAGAGAAACTACTCTTTTTGACGAAAGGAACCACGTTGCCTTTCATTACTTTTTGCTTTCCTTTTGCTTCCTGGTGTGAAAGTCAAGGGACACTGAGCACAGGCCGGACGTGTCTCACGGCGGCCTAAACTAGGATGGCGCCTCCCGCGGTGGTTTTCCCCTCTCCACTGTACTGAAAAGGCAGAAGGAAAAGCAAAGCTTACAGTTGCTGAAGTTTCTTCATTTGTGAAAATGCGTTGCCTTGTAATGACATGATTGCGTTGTCACTCAGGTCTCTGAAAATAATCAGATCAGATACATCAGGCGCAAACGGTGGTCTCGGCATGCCTTTCACCAAACCCACGCTGGACGGCCGACCCCCGCAGCGCCCACGAGGAAGCCGGCGCTGAGCAACACGGTTGCCTGCCTCAGGGGCTAGTTCAGTCATAGTGAGAGATTCTGCTTCCATGACCACTTACCGGTCACTGGACTCACAAGGGCCCAAGCTATTCTGCTATATTATTTTTATTGAATTTCTCATTATTCAAGTTAACCATTAGTACCTTTTAAGTACACAAAGTGCTCGTAATGATGCTTTTAAAAGAACACCACATATAGAATACTTGCTATGATACGCACTGTTAAGAGATTTACATATACTGAGTATTACATTTACTCCTCACAGCAAACCCAAAAGGTGGCATTATGACCTTGCTCAGCAGGAAAGGGACGCTAAGATTTGAGCCCAATTATTTCAAAACCTAGGCTTAATCACCAGCCTAATTCGGCCACACACAACTCGCTACTGTAAAGATGGTTACTTGTTTAGACAAGATGTACTTGCTAAAACAAACACACACTTCGGGCAGAACATTTACATGACAAGCAAATATTTTGGGCTGGTTTTGTTTTTAACTAGTACTTCCAAGCAGTTTGAATGACTTAAAGCACTCTCCACAACGATTACTGCTCTGTTTTCCTTTACAAGGGTCCGAGTATATAGAAAGGACTGTGAATGAGACAAATGACCGTAAAGACAGAATGACCATGCAAACGTGGGCAGCAACAGAGGCTGGGAGAGTCAGGAAGGTTCAGAGACTTGAAGCAGAGGCTAATACTCCACTGACCCAGTGATACCACTTTCCCAGAACTGGACTGGGCCCCACGGCAAAGCCTTTGGCTCATTTCTCTTGTTGCAGGGAGTCCAGCCGTGCTGCTCTGCCCTTCCCAATTCTGCGGTGCACAGTCGTTCTGCACAACCCGAACCACTGCACAGTCACCGTGGCTCAACATCCAAACCCCTCCACCTGCCAAGTGTACCAGAGGCAGCGGCAAGGTGGGTCCCAGAAAACAGCTAAGTCTTCACTCTCGACACACAGCACAAAGGACGGTACAAACCCAAAGCACATTTTAGATCATAACTTCTTTATGTAAGTGATTACATACTAAAATTTCTGGCCATAAGCATTCCTTGCTGGTCAGGGTGAAGTATTTATGTTGCTTTGTACTTCTACTGTGCAAGTATAAGACATAAACTCATGGCCACAGGCAGCTGGTTGGCTCAGTGCTCACGCCAGGTTTTGATTCCCATCATGGTTGCCTCATCTGCTCTCCTAAAGCTGAAAATAGTTAAGCCCCTAAATGTCGATTCAAAACTGTGTGCCAGGAGTTATCCTGAGAATGGCCGATGGCAGAGGTGGTGAAGGGAAGAGCTTATGAGAGGCAGGGACACCGTGAAAACTCAGGCAGCCCTGGTTTGAGTCCTGCTTCTGCCTGTGGCTGACTGATGGGTTAGTAGCAGAACAAGAAAAAGGACTATAAAGGGGGGAAAGCAGGTGGTACGTTTTATAACCAAACATCAGCAATGACAAATGAACGAAAACTCTGAAAGTAGTTTTAATAACCTCCAAGTGTCATTCTCAGGAACTATAGGGACTATTTTTTGTATCTTTAATAGGGTTCTTGTGAGGATTATTTGAGGCTACATATAAAAACTTTGGCATAATGCCTGACATGTTGTGGGTGCATACCAAATGGCAGTTTTCTAACTTTTTAATTTATTTTTATTGATTTGGTGGGGGGTGATCAGAGAGAAAGAGAGACATCACTTTGTTGTCCACTTGCTGATGCATTCACTGGTTGCTTATCGTATGTACCCTGACCAGGGATCGAACAAGCAACCTTGGCCTATAGGGCGATGCCCTAATCAACTGAACCACCCTCCAGGGCATGAATGATAGTTCAAAAAATATATACCACTAGTTTAGAAAAATAACTAAACAAAAGCCAAGAATAATTTGCAGGAATCTCCTTAAATGCAAAGGAAAAGGTGTGTCTGGATGCTTCCAGACAGACACCGACAGGTGAGTGGGCAGGTAGGCGGGCAGACAGCAGGTGAGCAGATGTGTAAATGCACTTCCTGGTACGAAGAGGACGCCAACAAGATTATGTTTCAGTTTGTTTTACCTTTCAGGCCACATCAGTGAACACCTATCTTAGTCTACCTGTAGGGAAACTGAATGCCGGCTACTCACAGATGTTCTAATGCATCCAGACCGGCGAAGGCTTTTTTGGTAATAGATCGAATCCGGTTTCCCTGGAGGATTCTGAAAAAAGAGATTCCCATTGGAACAGTTAATATAAGCCAGTTTGGGGGTAGAATTCTCATGCAAACCACTGCTCTTGAAATCATTTGTGAATACTTTATTTTTTTGAGTTAAACAAAATAGTCCATACTATCTACTTCAGTGGTACGGTTCAGCACGGTTTCCACAGCATTCAAAAAAGAACCCAGCAAAAACAGGCAATCAATAAATCGTACTGATGGCTAAATGAAAGCAGTGCCTTTCAAAGTCTCTTTAGGAATGGTTAGCCATCACTATGGGTAGAAACTTTACTCCAAGTGAATTTCCTCAGCACTCTAATAAATGAAGCGGATAACAGTGGAGAATGTCTCTGTGACCTCCCTACTCATGAATATCTTTATTATCCACTGAAGTTTAGGGGTACATGAAACTCAATTTGAAAACCATCGGCTTAAAATACAAAATCTGGCCATCTGCAGAGCCGTTTTATGGCTAAATGTAAGCATGTTTTTATCGCTTGGAACCTACGTCTGTCACCAGTAGATACTGGGTTACCTCATTTAAAAATTTCTGTGAGTAGAGTGCAATAGTAAAAATTTCAAAATGTTGAAATTTTACACAATGATAATCTTAAGGGTCTAAGCACATAAAACAATGATAAATTCTTATCTAGATATTAAAATAAGTTAAAGAAACCAGTTGAATAAAACCCTTATACCAAAGAAGAAAAGCAAATTAACACACTTCTTATATAACAGCACTCATTACGGGAAATGACAAAGGATATCAACCGGATTAAGCACCTATTTCTAAACTCTTTAAGTTTGTGGAACTGACTTAATTAAGACACAATGTTTATTTTAGGTCAAAGACTGAGTCACATTATGAGGCGAATCTCATACTCACAGCCGCCTCAGTTTGTCAAGCCCAGAGAAAGCACCGTTCATGTCCTCAATAGTCCAGGAAATTTCATTATTTTTCAGATCCCTGATATTAAAAAGGAATGTTACTAAAACTGGTACCAAGTACTTAACAAAAGATACAAGCATTCTCTTAGGGATACACTCAGAAATCTAAGACTGCCACCCAGGTGGCATGTGATTTGCAGTGAAGTCCTCCTAATTCCCACATCTTCTGCACGCCTTTCCAAACAAGAGAAAATTCTCCCTCTTTCCACAACACTTTCGGTTTTTGCCCAGAATCAGGACAGCTCACTCTGGCTCTATTAATTCCTCTATCAAGATGACTAAATCCTGAAAGACTTGAAAAGTCTGAAAAATACATTAAACTTTTAAACCACTGTTCCAACCACATAAGCAGAGTTTGCCAAAGCATACAGTATGTCTTTCAATTATGTAATGCTTCAAGTAGACAACACAGCAAAAGTTTCTGACAGCGCAAAAATCGCCAGCCCATTGCGCAATGTTAAAATTAGTGTTTGAGAGATTTTTCAAAGGTCAGTTAGTCCAGTTCCCTCTTCTTGCTCTTGGACAGAGATCAAATCTGGAGGTAACTGGTATGATAAACAGACATCCTCCTTTGATGACTTTGTATATCTTTTTGCTCTTGGTAATTTTTAATCTGCATTTTATAAAAATTAGTGGACTTAAAATTGTTTCCCTCTTGAGCAGTTAGCAACTTCCTGGAGATCCCGAGAAGGCTAACTATAATCACCCAAACAATCTGATCACTGTCTTTTTTTAATCCCTTTAAGAAACCCATATGGATGAAATGGACTGATTTTAATCAAACTGATCTGGGAAAGATTAAGACACTACTTCTAAGGCTATACACACTTCCTTCACAACAAAGGAAATCTGCTTGGAGAAAAGTGGGCACATTTAGGAACCAATTAGGTTCACGTATGGAGAGCAAAATGTGTAACTTACAAAGTCTTTAAACTGGAAAGCCCCCGGAAGGCGCAATCAGCAATGTAGCTGACTTGGTTGTTCCCAATGTGCAGGGTATTTAGCAAGCTGAGGCCCAGGAAGCTTGAATCATCCAACCTCGATAAGTGATTGAAAGTTAGGTCCCTGTAAAAGAAAAAGGAAAAAAAACCCCCACATATAATAGCTTTTACTTTCTAATGCAACACAATGATTTGTTAAACAACAACAATGAAAAGACAGGTAATATGTGTAACCACAATAATCCTTATTCTAAAAGGCTGACTCCTTAATAATACCCAGGTAAACATTATTTATAATCCCAGTAATTTAAAAAAGTCTCTTTATTTGAAAATAACCATCATCGCTTTAGCCCACGCACCACAGACCCGAAACAGCAGAGTCGGCTTCAACTTATCAGGACAAAAATATGACTAAGTTGCATGTGAAAAAAAAGCTGTCACCTTGGAAACTGTTATGAACATTTCACAGATCAGTGGTAAGAAGCTCATGCTCTGGCATGATCCCTGTTCTCAAACTTGAGAATAAAAGGCAACTCACAGCTCACTGAGTTTCTGGCAGAACTCCCAGGCATCAGGACTGATCCTGCTGATGGCATTTTGGCTGAGGTGAAGTTCCTGCAGCATCAGCAAGCCATAAAGCCAGCCTTTGGTAATCTCTGTGAGGTTGTTATGGTCCAGCTGCCTACATTTACAATGAGAATCAAAAGCGGGATCCAAAGTTCATTATCGAGTCTTTTCAAAGGGGACATGTGAAGACAACCTATTACTATTGTTGCTAGACATTTAGCTTTTGTTGTATGAAGACATCAGCAGAAAAGACCACATGCTTATAAATTTCTAAGTTGTTTTACCTGAAACAAAACTAAATTATAAACGATTGTTGAACATGGAATTTCAAATAAAAGCTACTGAGTGTTCAGAGGTCATGCAACCTGAGTAGGAATTGCCAGGTCCCACACTTACAAGATCTCCATGTTGCTCAGCCCCCAAAAAGCTCCATCCATAAGTCTTGTTACTCCATTTCTCTGCATTTTCAGAGACTTCAAAGCTCCGAGCCCTTGGAACGTGAGTCCATCTACGTTTTTAATCTTGTTTCGGTTCAGCTCACTGCGTTAAATATTACAGTGAACTAGTTAGCTCATACGACAAATTCTGGAGGTAGTAATAAATGTCACACTACTACAGTACAGTGAAACCAGCCAGCATTAAATTACATGTGGTCTTAAATTTCTAAACATTTTAATTGAGACAAATTTTGATTTAATAGCAGTAAGTGAATTTCCTTCTGAAATGTGTGATGTATTTCTGGAATGATAAAACACTGAAACTAGACCACACTTTAATTTCGAAACTGTGTCCACTCAGTATAAAAGTAAACAAATTATTATTTGTCTTTGAGTTCTCCAGAATGAGAATGATGCATGTGACCTTCAGCCATGAGGTTCATTCAGGAACAGGGAGGTCAAGTTTATCCTACTCAGTCTGCTTACACAAGTCGGTTCCTCTTGCGCTTCTTCACATTTAGTGCTTTGTCTTTAAGGCAGTCATTCTCAACCTTGCGTGCACACTGGAATCACCTGGGAGTTTTAAAAATTACTGAGGCCTGGATCTTACCCCCAGAGGTTCCCATGTAATTGGCCTAGGGTATGGCCTGGGCATTGGGATTTTTAAAAGCTCCCCAAGTGTCTGTAACGTGCAGCCGAGGCTGAAAACCACTATTTTGTAGGAGCCTATGCACAGATCATTCAACCAATACTAACGAGACAGTTCTTTACAGCCACCTAAGCCATCAGGGCCTCCTGGAGTTGTTGGCATTATTCTCATAAACCCCAGCTATCGTGAGGCCCCAGGGTTTCTTCTGTCCCACCACGACGCCTCAGCACACCGCTGTTCGATGATTACCCTGTTCACTCTCCTGGTAACAGCCCCACAGGCCTCGTTGGGCAGGAGCTTGTTCTAAGTGACTTCTAAGGCTTGTTCTGATTCGGCGATTCTACCACTCCGGCTCTCAAAGGGAAGATGGCCACATCCTTGCTTCTAAACTCTTTCTGCCACATTGTGGATTTTAGAGAACAGACACCAAGGGTTTAGAGGAGATGAGGAAACATCATCACCTATGAGGATGTTGTACTTACAGGTGTTGCAGTTGGGGCAGTTTAAACATCTTGGGTGGAATAGCGGAAATTCGGTTCCTGTTCAACTTCAGTACTAGGAGTGTGGTGGCCAAACTGTCAAAATAGCCAGGTTCTATGGCTGTGACCCGGTTGCTGTTGATGTACCTGTTGAAAGTTGGAAATGAGCTTCTCTTTCTGGTTGCTTTGGGGAGACAGAGTGCACGCATGACCTGTACTATAGTGAATCTCCAGAGAACCTAACCACCACGTGTACCAGTGGACACTTCAGATAACCGCTCCTCTGGTCCCTGTGGACCAGGACTGACTGCAGTTCACACACACTGGCAGGGAAAGAATAATTGGAACATCTGAAGACTATAAAAATTTGTTAGAGATCTGTATCTACTTTTTTTTCTAATTTTATTTATTTTTTAGATTTTATTTATCTTTAGAAGGGAAGGGAAAGAGAGAGGGAAAGAAATATCAATGTATGGTTGCTTCTCATGTGTCCCCTGCTGGGAACTGGCCTGCAACCCAGGCATGTGCCCTGACTGGGAATCGAAGCCCAATCCTTTGGTTCGCAGGCCCGTGCTCAATCCACTGAGCTACACCAGCCAGGGCTGCTTATCTACTTTTTAAAAATTAATTTCACTTTTACTGACTTAGTAATAAAACAACAATGAAATGACGATGGTTTAATCTAATTTTTTTAAAAGAAGCATGTTGTACCCCACAAGTTTTCTTATCCCATCCATGAAAAGGGATGTCCCATTCTTTCATTATTCAAAGTATCAGAGTAAAATGAAGATCGTGGCTATTCGGACTTAGAGCAAATTATCAATCAGTAAAAAAGTTACACTTTTGACTCATCAGCAGTAAAAATAGGCAAAGTTTGTTATGTCTTAAAGTGGATTTTCTTATAACATGACATTTTCACCACAGGTAATAATTTTTGCTAAAGAAAAGTTGACTTACAGATATTTGAGTTGCAGAGGTGGAAATACAGTTTTAAGATCTGAAATATTATTGCTGCTGAGGTCCAATGTTTCCAGGGATTGAAAATGTTTCAGCTGTTCGGGTAATATTTCACCAATCTTGTTTCCAGCTCTGCAATGAAAAGATAGCAGAGGTAACAGGGGTCACAGTACAACAATCTGAAAGGCGAAAAATACTCTCCATTCCAAACTGGTTCTCCGAAAAAATGGAAAACCGATTGCTCTAAACAGCACTTTTGAAGTTAAGAGCATCTCTTTAGTCACTTTAATTTTGAATTAAATAGTATACCATAATATAAAAGTATACAAAAAACATTCCTATAAAAATCTGGGTGTGTCATCTGAATGACTTTTCTTTGTTATTTTGTTAACAGTCCTTCTTCCTTTTCATTTTTTTATTGCATGGCGTGTGAATGCCCAGCACCAACTTGGCATGTTTTGTTGCACTGATTCGTTAGTTCCCTCTTCCTTCCTGTTGCTTCCTAATCTACTTCTAATTCTTCACTCAGAAAGTGCCCACACTTCAGGTGCCAATGAACTTCAAATACTCATCAGATTGGGATGTTTTTAAAGTTATGACAGAGAGATCTCTTTAAGAAAGAGCAAGTTTCAATGCACTGCCACAGACTTCAAAACCAGGGAATATGTATGCTTCAGGGCTCTGAATAGTGAAAAGTATCACATAAGAGCACCCCAGTCTAAATAATCCCTGGGAGTAGATTTAAAATATTTGACATTAATGAACAGTCTTGACACCAAACCAGGATGTCCAATATGGGAGCCACACAAGCTCTTTAAATTTAATTAAAGCTAAATGTTTACATTCAATTCCTTCGTCACGGTCACCACATGTGCCTGGTGACTGTCAAATGGGACAGGGCCCATGCACAGCACATCCACCATCGTGAGACGTTCTGCTGGTGAGCACTTTAGACCACAAATTTTTTTAAAAAGGCCAAGGCAAAGCTCGTAAGAGGTCATCGATACAACAGGTTCTAAGGGGAAAGTCTGCATTAAATGGCCATCTTGCTAGAACAGAAAAATTAAACTGATAGGTGGGATATCTTAATTGTCACATTAGATCTTTACCTTTACAGGCAGGGGAAGATAATGTGTTGAGGTTGAAAAGCTGGGGAGATAACAGTCTCTTTACAAAAAACAAAATCTTCTCTTTACAACCAACCCCAAACAACGAGACAACCTGAAGGCTCTATGTACTACAGTCTGCAGAGGTCACGTGCCGCTGTTTCTACACACAGTCTATAGTTAACCTCCACTTAATGCGGAAACTTAGAAAATCCATTTCCTGTATGTACCTTTCTTACCCATACATGCATTTCCTTGCGCTCTGAGTTGACTAAGCTCTTCTGCATTATGGTAACTCACAGGCCTCTCACCACTCAGAAGGTTGCTGGGTTGGGTCCAACTGTGATGTACCCCCGAAGCCTGTGCGGCGGCGCTGTCACAGCCCTCACCCTGGCCGTCCTGTCTGTTACACTGTGAGCTCCCTCCACGCAGGGACATGTCTCCACCCCTGTCTTGGAACGTGTATAGAACTGTATCGTGTTGAGGACATATTATGAGATTCCAAGCCCTGTGCTAAGCATTTTTCAATACACGCATTTGCCATTTACTTGGGACAACCTTCTCTGGTACAGGTATCATAGTTCATTTAAAAATTAGGAAATTAGAGCTCTAACACAAATACTCTCAAAGTGCCTCACAGAGTAATTCCTTACTGGTCCCCAACCCATCCCTGAAATCTTGTTTCATAGCACACAGTTTCAGAGATACTTTGCCAGTAAGTCCTTATGAGGGGACTCACCTCAAGAAATGCCTACGACTTCCCACTCCTGGGGAAGTGCGGTACTTCTGGTTTCAAACTGATGTGGCACTCCACGCTGGCTCACTGAGCCCCCAGCATGCCCACACTGGGGACGCCCTGGAAGTGCCCCCAGCTGTGCGTGCAGCCTAGGTTGCTAAGAGGGGGCCCCAGGGGTCTGCATGTGTTTGGCACCCATCGGAGGAGCAGACTTCCTGACTACCTGCAAATGTCAGGGGCTGCCTCCCCCACAAGGAAGAACAAGGTTGTTAAGTCTCTAAGCAAACAACTGAGGAAGCTTCTCAAAATGGTGTTAAAATCCTCCATATGTTACTTTTAAGGATTGTGGGGGGATCTTTTGTAACCCAAGTCGTCGGAGAATCTAGCCTCCGTTTAAAGTAATGCTCTCTATACAGGGTAACAAGGTGATACAGACGGAGGGGCCAAGCTCTGTGATAACAGTCAGGTGAAAAACCACCATCACCACCACAACAAACCCACCAGAATCAGCATCTCCATGTACCAGTCACCAGTATGAAGCCCTGAAATTCCCATAAAGTCGTACAGACTTTGTTTAGAGTCAAGTCGGCCATGAGCTCTGATTTGGCCATTTTCCACATCTGGATTTGCCAGGGTAGAGAAAGACTCCTTGAGCCAGTGGTGAGGTAGAGGGTAATGCGAGTGAGACGATTAGTCAATTTCTAGGCCCTGGAGATGGACTCAGTCCAGGAGACAAGCTGCAGGGCCTTGGGGCCAGGGTGTGGGGGTTAAACAAAACCACGCTTCGGGGGACAAAGATGTTGTCTTAAACATACAACCCAACCGTCTGCATTACCAGGATGTCCACCCACAGTGGGGGGGCCCTGACGTGCCCACGTGCCCCTCCCCTCCCCAGCCACCACTTCCCATTAAACTGTGCATCTGGTTTGGGCCCCCAGGCTGTCTGGGGCTAGTACAGCTACACTTACATTTAACAACAACAAGAAAACGCTCAGCCTCAGATTTCTGCAATAAATGGGGCAAACTGGTGTTTTCGTGGGAGGCCCCAGACCACTGGGCCCCCCCCCCTGCGGCGGACCCACAGGTGTATATCACGTCAGTCAAATATGGCTACGAGTTAGATACCAGGCCATACAATCTTTGGTTTATGTATTCGTTTGTTTATAAGGTAATTATGAACAAGGCATTAAAACTGCCAATTACTTGAGTGACGAATAAAATTTTCCTTGCAGTTAAAGTACGCCGCAGCCAAAGCCAGCAATTTCCTGAGCTGCACACCTCCTAAACGGCAGTGTGAAAGTGCTCCACGAGGGACGGGCGCACACAGTGCTGGCTTTGTCAGCGCCGCTCCCCAGCACAAAAATCCCTCACACTGCAGGGATAATGGTCCCTGTATCGCAAAATCTCAACGCTGTCCTAATAGCGCTGAATCAGATCCAAATGCCAGTTTCATATTAGCCCTCAGACATAACTGGCACACGACTACCTGATATGTACCAACTACATTAAAAAACTGCTTTAAAAACTATTTTTAATCACCTAGAGCCCTCACTATAAACACATGATAACAGAGCGGTTCACAAATAGCCACTTCTAGAAGACAAAGATCCCATTCAAATCCAGTTTTTATTTCTCTCCAGATATGGATAAATGCCGAAATGGACGAATACATTGAAAGCACTGCAGTTAGTGTTTTTGGCAGGAAATATGCAGTGCTCTAACCAAAACCAAAACCAACCGCACGAATACCTTTCTCTATGACTTAAGTTAATGTGGAAATGCCATCTCTGCATTGTTCACCATCATGGTATGGTGCTGTAAGTATCGGAAGGCATTTTGGTCCCAGGCAAATACGCTGTAAGGAGTACGGACATTTTGGTCATCTATGTTTGTTGACAGTACAAGGCGTCCCGTGGTTAAATCATTGCCAAGGTCAAGTATAAGCAGTCCCCAGTGGACAAACACAGACCTGGGGTCTTGGTCAGGTGGAATGCAGAGGGTTCCTCAGGCTTCTCAGAGGCATTTCAGCCTGGGCTTCTGTAGCCCAACAATAATGGCTCCGCTTTGTTGCTAATTTCACCTTCCAGCCTACTTTGCCAAAGACCTTTAAAATGCAGAGGCAACCGTGACTTTCCATTTTGCATGGTGATATTTGCCCTGAGAGTGCTCAGGATCTATCAGTGAAGGAGACAGGTATGGGAGTGGTCACTGAAGCCATCAGTGATAAGGAAAGAGGACAGTAGAGGAAGAAAGCACAGCCTCCTACAAAGAGGTGGGCGGGGAATCAGCAAAGCTTCCCGGGGCCAGGCAGCAGCTAGTGTTCCAAGCAGAAGCAAGTGAGGCAAGGCAAGGCTTCTTCCCTTTGCAGAAATGAAAGAAAGCCTTGAGGGCTGAAGTGCAGAGTTCGTGGGGAGAGACTGGAGGAAGAGGAAGGTCAAGAGTGAGGCGATGGAAAGAGATGACAGGTCAAGTGGTAGCCTGTAAGCCGCATTAGGCATCTGGCCTCCAGGTCAAGATCAAGTACGGGGAGGGGAGGCTTTCAGATGGTGGGGCGACAACATCAGCTGCACATCTCAGAAAGGCTGCTCTGGCAGCTGTGGGTAGAAAGCCTGGGTGGAGGGCAGGCAACACCAGGTGCGGGAGCACCGCAGGAGGTGCAGAGGACAGCCGGTGGCAGGCTGGGATGCTCATGACTGTCCGCCTACCTATCCACTTGCAGGGTACAGCACAGTCATCCCCTGGCTTCCCAGGGCATGCAGGCTGTGCTTGCCTCCTCCCCTGACATACAAGCTACACTTTCCAGTTCCCTGGTCTCCGGCCACAGGGACCCAGTTCAGTGCTACTGGAGTTGCCACTCCCTCCATCTGTTAGCACAGTGTTTTGCAGCCCTGATACGGGAGGCCTCCTACAGCTTGGAGGCCCACAGACTACGGTTCTCTCTTGTTCAGGCGAGAGGTGCCCACTGGAAGAATCCAGTACATTTTAATGTGCCTATAATCACTAGGAAAATGGACAAAGGTATTATTCTCATAGACAAGGAATGTGCTTGTTTGTGCCGATCACCTCAAGTAAATGTAAACCCAGACTAAATTAGTCACAGTACAATATAACTTACGAGGTTATAACATACCACTTGGTATGACGGTGACTGGTTCTACTTTTTGACCCACTACAATCTCCAGAAAGCGTGAGTCTCCAAAGGACCTCATGAACTCTTAAGTGGATATAAATGTGGTAGTTGATTTCCAGAGTCTGAAAGGAGAGTCCCAGAGTGAAATACTCTTTGTTAA